GCGGGGTCGGACCCCGTCTCTCTCCTCCCCCGCAGGCTCCGGCTGGGATGCCATGCCCTGATCCACCACCACGTCTTCACCAACCTCATCCTCGTCTTCATCATCCTCAGCAGCATCTCCCTGGCCGCCGAGGACCCCATCCGGGCCCACTCCTTCCGCAACATCGTGAGCGCCGGCCAGGCTGGGATGCCATGCCCTGATCCACCACCACGTCTTCACCAACCTCATCCTCGTCTTCATCATCCTCAGCAGCATCTCCCTGGCCGCCGAGGACCCCATCCGGGCCCACTCCTTCCGCAACATCGTGAGCGCCGGCCAGGGGAGGGGCGCCGGGAGCAGAGGAATGGGGGGGCAGGGGTCTCCCCCACAATGGTCATTGACTCTCCCCCCACCCTTGTCTCGCCCCCATGCTCAGATCCTGGGCTACTTCGACTACGCCTTCACCTCCATCTTCACCGTGGAAATCCTGCTCAAGGTACGGCCGGGCTGGGGACGGGCAGGCAGGGGCCTGCTTCATGCCAGGCTCGGGGAAGGGAGCGGGGCCCGGTGGTCAGCACAGGCCTGGACTGACCCTTCCCCTGCAGATGATGGCCTACGGCGCCTTCCTCCACAAAGGCTCCTTCTGCAGGAACTGGTTCAACCTCCTGGATCTGCTGGTCGTGAGCGTCTCCCTCATCTCCTTCGGGATCCAGTGAGCGGGGCAGAGGGGCAGCGGATTAGTGGATGCCGTGGGATATGCTGGCGTGGGACGGATTGGTGGATGCAGTGGGATATGCTGGCATGGGATGGATTGGTGGATGCGGTGGGATATGCTGGCGTGGGAAGGGTTGGTGGATGCCGTGGGATATGCTGGCGTGAGATGGGTTGGTGGATGCCGTGGGATATGCTGGCATGGGACGGATTGGTGGATGCCGTGGGATATGCTGGCGTGGGGAGGGTTGGTGGATGCCGTGGGATATGCTGGCGTGAGACGGCTTGGTGGATGCCGTGGGATATGCTGGCGTGGGAAGGGTTGGTGGATGCAGTGGGATATGCTGGCGTGGGAAGGGTTGGTGGATGCCGTGGGATATGCTGGCGTGGGACGGATTGGTGGATGCGGTGGGATATGCTGGCGTGGGAAGGGTTGGTGGATGCGGTGGGATATGCTGGTTGCAGGAAGTATTAGTGCATGAATGGGCGTGAGGAACTGGGGGGAATCAGTGGGGGAGGGGTTAGCAGGGGTGCAGGACAGGGAGTTGGGGAACTCCCCCTAAAGTCTCTGTTCCCCCACTCCCTCTTCCCAGCTCCAGCGCCATCTCTGTGGTGAAGATTTTGCGGGTGCTGCGGGTGCTCCGGCCCCTCCGAGCCATCAACCGGGCCAAGGGGCTAAAGGTGAGGGTGGATGCTGAGGGGGGCCATGTCACTGAGGTGTGGGGAGCCCCCGGGCCCAGCCCCCGCCCCCAGCCAGGTGGGACTCTCAGGCGGCAGGTAGAGGAGAGGGTCTATGGGGTCCCATGGACACAGTGTAGCCCAGGTTTGTTGTCACAGGAGCAGCCAGCCTGGGGGGGGAGAGGGGGCAGATCCAGGGCCCTGCCTGGCCCCCCAGGCCAGCAAGGCTCCTTTTCCCCCAGCCGGCCCAAAACCAACTCCCACCCCGAGCCACACACACAGAGCACTGCACTGAACACACAGCACTACACACACACAGAGCACTGCACTGAACACACAGCACTGCACACAAACAGAGCACTGCACGCAGACAGCACTGCAAGCACACACACCCAGCACTGCACTGAACACACAGCCCTACATGCAGACATCACTGCACACACAGAGCACTGCACACACAGAGCACTGCACACACAGAGCACTGCACACACAGAGCACTGCACACACAGAGCACTGCACACACAGAGCACTGCACACACAGAGCACTGCACACACAGAGCACTGCACACACAGAGCACTGCACACACAGAGCACTGCACACACAGAGCACTGCACACACAGAGCACTGCACACACAGAGCACTGCACACACAGAGCACTGCACACACAGAGCACTGCACACACAGAGCACTGCACACACAGAGCACTGCACACACAGAGCACTGCACACACAGAGCACTGCACACACAGAGCACTGCACACACAGAGCACTGCACACACAGAGCACTGCACACACAGAGCACTGCACACACAGAGCACTGCACACACAGAGCACTGCACACACAGAGCACTGCACACACAGAGCACTGCACACACAGAGCACTGCACACACAGAGCACTGCACACACAGAGCACTGCACACACAGAGCACTGCACACACAGAGCACTGCACACACAGAGCACTGCACACACAGAGCACTGCACACACAGAGCACTGCACACACAGAGCACTGCACACACAGAGCACTGCACACACAGAGCACTGCACACACAGAGCACTGCACACACAGAGCACTGCACACACAGAGCACTGCACACACAGAGCACTGCACACACAGAGCACTGCACACACAGAGCACTGCACACACAGAGCACTGCACACACAGAGCACTGCACACACAGAGCACTGCACACACAGAGCACTGCACACACAGAGCACTGCACACACAGAGCACTGCACACACAGAGCACTGCACACACAGAGCACTGCACACACAGAGCACTGCACACACAGAGCACTGCACACACAGAGCACTGCACACACAGAGCACTGCACACACAGAGCACTGCACACACAGAGCACTGCACACACAGAGCACTGCACACACAGAGCACTGCACACACAGAGCACTGCACACACAGAGCACTGCACACACAGAGCACTGCACACACAGAGCACTGCACACACAGAGCACTGCACACACAGAGCACTGCACACACAGAGCACTGCACACACAGAGCACTGCACACACAGAGCACTGCACACACAGAGCACTGCACACACAGAGCACTGCACACACAGAGCACTGCACACACAGAGCACTGCACACACAGAGCACTGCACACACAGAGCACTGCACACACAGAGCACTGCACACACAGAGCACTGCACACACAGAGCACTGCACACACAGAGCACTGCACACACAGAGCACTGCACACACAGAGCACTGCACACACAGAGCACTGCACACACAGAGCACTGCACACACAGAGCACTGCACACACAGAGCACTGCACACACAGAGCACTGCACACACAGAGCACTGCACACACAGAGCACTGCACACACAGAGCACTGCACACACAGAGCACTGCACACACAGAGCACTGCACACACAGAGCACTGCACACACAGAGCACTGCACACACAGAGCACTGCACACACAGAGCACTGCACACACAGAGCACTGCACACACAGAGCACTGCACACACAGAGCACTGCACACACAGAGCACTGCACACACAGAGCACTGCACACACAGAGCACTGCACACACAGAGCACTGCACACACAGAGCACTGCACACACAGAGCACTGCACACACAGAGCACTGCACACACAGAGCACTGCACACACAGAGCACTGCACACACAGAGCACTGCACACACAGAGCACTGCACACACAGAGCACTGCACACACAGAGCACTGCACACACAGAGCACTGCACACACAGAGCACTGCACACACAGAGCACTGCACACACAGAGCACTGCACACACAGAGCACTGCACACACAGAGCACTGCACACACAGAGCACTGCACACACAGAGCACTGCACACACAGAGCACTGCACACACAGAGCACTGCACACACAGAGCACTGCACACACAGAGCACTGCACACACAGAGCACTGCACACACAGAGCACTGCACACACAGAGCACTGCACACACAGAGCACTGCACACACAGAGCACTGCACACACAGAGCACTGCACACACAGAGCACTGCACACACAGAGCACTGCACACACAGAGCACTGCACACACAGAGCACTGCACACACAGAGCACTGCACACACAGAGCACTGCACACACAGAGCACTGCACACACAGAGCACTGCACACACAGAGCACTGCACACACAGAGCACTGCACACACAGAGCACTGCACACACAGAGCACTGCACACACAGAGCACTGCACACACAGAGCACTGCACACACAGAGCACTGCACACACAGAGCACTGCACACACAGAGCACTGCACACACAGAGCACTGCACACACAGAGCACTGCACACACAGAGCACTGCACACACAGAGCACTGCACACACAGAGCACTGCACACACAGAGCACTGCACACACAGAGCACTGCACACACAGAGCACTGCACACACAGAGCACTGCACACACAGAGCACTGCACACACAGAGCACTGCACACACAGAGCACTGCACACACAGAGCACTGCACACACAGAGCACTGCACACACAGAGCACTGCACACACAGAGCACTGCACACACAGAGCACTGCACACACAGAGCACTGCACACACAGAGCACTGCACACACAGAGCACTGCACACACAGAGCACTGCACACACAGAGCACTGCACACACAGAGCACTGCACACACAGAGCACTGCACACACAGAGCACTGCACACACAGAGCACTGCACACACAGAGCACTGCACACACAGAGCACTGCACACACAGAGCACTGCACACACAGAGCACTGCACACACAGAGCACTGCACACACAGAGCACTGCACACACAGAGCACTGCACACACAGAGCACTGCACACACAGAGCACTGCACACACAGAGCACTGCACACACAGAGCACTGCACACACAGAGCACTGCACACACAGAGCACTGCACACACAGAGCACTGCACACACAGAGCACTGCACACACAGAGCACTGCACACACAGAGCACTGCACACACAGAGCACTGCACACACAGAGCACTGCACACACAGAGCACTGCACACACAGAGCACTGCACACACAGAGCACTGCACACACAGAGCACTGCACACACAGAGCACTGCACACACAGAGCACTGCACACACAGAGCACTGCACACACAGAGCACTGCACACACAGAGCACTGCACACACAGAGCACTGCACACACAGAGCACTGCACACACAGAGCACTGCACACACAGAGCACTGCACACACAGAGCACTGCACACACAGAGCACTGCACACACAGAGCACTGCACACACAGAGCACTGCACACACAGAGCACTGCACACACAGAGCACTGCACACACAGAGCACTGCACACACAGAGCACTGCACACACAGAGCACTGCACACACAGAGCACTGCACACACAGAGCACTGCACACACAGAGCACTGCACACACAGAGCACTGCACACACAGAGCACTGCACACACAGAGCACTGCACACACAGAGCACTGCACACACAGAGCACTGCACACACAGAGCACTGCACACACAGAGCACTGCACACACAGAGCACTGCACACACAGAGCACTGCACACACAGAGCACTGCACACACAGAGCACTGCACACACAGAGCACTGCACACACAGAGCACTGCACACACAGAGCACTGCACACACAGAGCACTGCACACACAGAGCACTGCACACACAGAGCACTGCACACACAGAGCACTGCACACACAGAGCACTGCACACACAGAGCACTGCACACACAGAGCACTGCACACACAGAGCACTGCACACACAGAGCACTGCACACACAGAGCACTGCACACACAGAGCACTGCACACACAGAGCACTGCACACACAGAGCACTGCACACACAGAGCACTGCACACACAGAGCACTGCACACACAGAGCACTGCACACACAGAGCACTGCACACACAGAGCACTGCACACACAGAGCACTGCACACACAGAGCACTGCACACACAGAGCACTGCACACACAGAGCACTGCACACACAGAGCACTGCACACACAGAGCACTGCACACACAGAGCACTGCACACACAGAGCACTGCACACACAGAGCACTGCACACACAGAGCACTGCACACACAGAGCACTGCACACACAGAGCACTGGAACACACAGCACTACACACACCCAGCGCTGCACTGACCACACAGCACTACACACACACAGAGCACTGCACTGAACACACAGCCCTACATGCAGACATCACTGCACACACAGAGCACTGCATGAACACTGAGAGCACTGCACACACTGCTCACACGCACAGCACTGCACGCATGTAAACAATGCGCTGCACTGAACACAGCACCACACACACACACGCACACACACACACAGCACTGCAAGCACAGAGCACTGCACGCACTGCGTACGTGCACAGAGAGAGCACTGCGTGAACGCACACAGCACTGC